CATCATAAATGTCATACTAAGTTAATTTGACCCAATATATTATTTTAAGATAACATCTGAGAAAGAATTTGCACAAGATAGCTTAATCCTCATGGACATAAGGTACACAATCCTTCATATATCTTTGAATTCATGTCTAAGACTACCATCTATTTATTGTCCCTCTAAACCCATTACAATCTTACAATCATGGATCCTCACCCTTTGAAAATAATATGTTTTAAAAACCTGTGCTTGCCAATTTATTTTGTAATGCCTTATCATTCAACATTTTTTGTTCAGAAACCAAATGTTTTCATACTTAAAAACATTTTTGTTCAAAACTTATTTTTCAATAATACGACTAATAATTCTCTAAATTCTTTATTTTTCTTTTAAAAATATTTTACTTTTAAGGATAGAAAATTATTCTACCAAAAAAATTTATCTTTAGCATATCATCGTCATCTTTTTGATTTACTGTTAATAAATGCTTCTTAAAAAATCAATTTTAAATTACATTTAGACTTATTTATGAATACTTTCACAAGATTAGTTTGTATTAACTTTTAGAAATTAGAACTCTATTCTTAAATCTTAAGTCAAATATTTATCTTCTTATGATATTTAATACTCAGATCCATAAGTTATAACAAAATCGAAATATAAAATATAAAATTCCATTAATAAAAAAATATAAAAGCATTACAAGAATAAGAGTAAAACCCTCAGGGGCAACATATCATCTATTCCATTTTTCAAACTTGCTTTAATCAACTTTTTCTCTAGAATTCACCTCCTCCTCACCACTCAACTTCTTTAGAGTCTTTTCCCATGCTTCTAAATCCCAGGAAGCGAAGTCGCTATCTTTGAAGTTGTTATATATCTTTAGCTTCTCCTCCAAAATAGCCATGGCCGTAAAAACCTTAGCTTCCCTACTTATCTTTTCATCCTTTCCTTCAAGATCCTCATTCTTCTTCCTCGGGATCTTCAATTCTTCACGATTAATAAGAACCTCCTTTTCCTTCGACGAAAAATCTTCGTCATTTTTCATTGGCTCTTGATCTTTCATCATCACCCTTTGCTCTAATTTCTTTTTCGAAGTGTCAAAATCCTTATTAAAATCCTCGGTTCCCTTCAAGATGAGGTTAGTTTCTTGAGACAAATATCAAAGAGTTAATCAACAGATAAAAGAATACATATTTATATCAATTGAAAGTATACATACTTGATTGGTATGAGTAATCAATTTATTCTTAATTTATGTTGGGGACAATCCAAGGAAAACATCTTGGCCTGAACTCTGTGAAAGGTTCCTTTTCTTCGAATCCGAACTAATGGCATTCACTGTTGCCCTTTTGAGAACCGAAGAAGGTAACTTATCAACCTTTGTTGGAGAGTCACCAGAGAGAAACTCATCGACGTTAAAACTTGAAAAGAAAGAACCGAAATGAGTGACTCTTAAGCCTGTCAAGATTGAACTAGATCAACAATTATTATCTAATTAAAGCAGTTGGGAAGGAAGAAACTGAAACCATTACCATTAGAAATGCTAGGATCCAACTCAAAAGGAAGATAATTTGAAACTTCATTTAACCGCTACTCTTCAAGAGCTTTGAAAGTTCTTTTCTCAAAAGACAATTTCAAAAATTCATGGACCCTCACTTATGTATCTTCAAGGGCTAGAAATAACTCTTCAAATCGTGGAACTACCTTGCACAAGGAGAAAAGAAAATAATCAAGATAACCCTATCATAACTAAAAAACCGTGAAGAAAATGGAAGTCCTACCTTTTTAATCTAGTCATCAGGCAAAGAATCCCCATTTTCCAAAGATTTCCTATTGATGAAAAAATATTTTCTTTTCCACCCAACACTGTGACAAGATATGTTAAGGAAAATATGATCCTTCCCGAGCTTTATTTTTAAAATAATGTGGGAAGAACCAAAAGTCCTAAGATCATAAACATTGCCGATCTTGGATACACCAAGATCAAGATTCTTAGTCTTGTTAAGATGGTTGATCCAAAACAAGATACGCCAAACCAAAGGCATGATTTAGGCATAAGGAAAACAGGTTATTTCAAAAAATTGAGAAATCAGAGTTGGAATGGGAAAAGAAAGTACGATTTGAAAGGGGAGATGATAAAAACGTGTACAAGACGCTGATATGAAATCAGGTCTTAGCTTTACATCATGAGATTTGAAAACTGTTTGTGTAGGAAGCTTCCCTCCTACACGAAAAGACTCAATTTTGTTATTTGTAAGTAACTAATTCCCTTATGACTTTGAGAAAGAATGCATGAATCAACAAAAGCCTCATAGATGAATCCCTCATTTATCAGCTTCAGATATAGCAAGGGCTTTTTATATGACTTGGAACAAAAGAAAGAATTTAGGAAACTCACTCACAAGATTAACTTTTCGTAAGAAAATAGGAACCTCCAAAATCAATATATTGTAGAGGAATATACCTAAACAACGGGTGAAAATTAAAATCTCCTAGGAAATCGAACAGGCGACCGTCCCGTCAGCATATAACGGCTAAGTTTCCAAAACCGAGAAATCTCCAATTCCTTGGATCTTGGTTTAGATATTACTAGGGGCAGTTGTCGTGAGGAGAAAGCTTTACTTAATATATTTATATATCGAACTTATACTAACATCCTGAACAAGTGTAAGATCTTAGATTTAATTAGTATCTTTGCATGCCATCCTATTTCTTGTAATATCTTGTACATGAACTTAAAGCTTGACTAGAAAGGAATAAACCAATTTAAATCACACGTGGTCAATACCTCATGAACGTTAGAGACTTTCGTAAAAACCGGGTCAAGAAAATATCAATGAGAATGCCAAGAATGTTAGAATTCTAGTTATTCTTGTTATGTATATAAAGACTAGTTTATTGATGAACACGACCTTTTCTCTCTGATTTCTTTTGACAGTCGAGCAAATTCATATTATTTTTATGATCATCTAGAACCTATAATGTATTTCGATTTAATACAAGTTATAAGGCAGGTGATTTCATCATCTCCCGAGGTATTATGTCAGATATCCAAACGGATTAAGAGCTTTCCTCATAATTATCTGTGTTCTTGCACTTATTTTATGTACTTATTGTTGTGTGATCGACACACACTGATTTCATTGTTTGCTGATTATTAATACATTTTCATATCAAATTATCAAGATATTTATGATATTTTGGTACCTTTTTTAGTATACGAAAGCTTTATTACACATAATCACTCATTAATCACTTTAACACTATTTTTGTCCCAAATATTTCAAATACACTTATTTACACTTTAAAATGAATCAACTCTATTTAACAGTTTTCTAAATATTAATGTCTTCTTCCCAAGATCTTGGGCACAACCAAGATCTTCGACATATTTCGAGATCTTAAATACTCTAGTTTTAATGTCCTATTTCTAACATCACGCCACACTTAGTAATTTGTTTATGAAATTAGTTTGTTAATTTTGACCAAAACAAGGGCAATTTGAGGAACTAGACCAAATTTCTTCGTAGGGATCCCTATTAAATATTTTCGATTTTATAGGGTATTGATTTGGTGTTTATTTAATTTTGTTCGTCAACTAAGCTGTGTGGTATCCCAAATATTTGTCAGTCTCAAGACATTTAGTTTATTATACCGCCCTAATTTCTAGTGGTTCTCTTAGTATCACAAATATTTCTCTCTTTCTCACTACTGGAAACTATTTCCACAACACTGTAAAATGGTTAGAGAATGGTTAGATGATGTGGCTTGTTTTTCATCCATGAAGATACCAGGTAGTCAAAATTAAAGCCATTGGATTTAACGAATCATTAATCCTATCCTCAAAATAAAAATAAGATTTAATGTGTACCTAAATAAAGAAAAATAATGTATTATTAAGGGTAACTCCCAATAGAAATGTACACTCCTAATGGAACAAAGTAATGATCTAACTTTCTAACTGAAAAAAAGTTTAGTGTTTGATTTGACATATAGTTGAGTGATATATAAACAAACTTCCTTTATAACGGTTAGGCCTCTCAAAATAGGGATAACATGGTCGGCATGACTGACATTTTCATTCGTTATCGGTGACTACACTATCCCACATAGTCAGTACCACCCAAAAACATGTCATTGTTGCATATCTATGTAGTTAGCCTCTCGATACTCCCCTCCCATCAACTAGATATTAAAATTTTAAAATAATAATACAAATTTAGTTATAAATATACTTTACAACTTTATAAACCATACATTACCCTTTAATAATATTTTCAACATTGTCAACTCTACAAGTTCCAAATTGATTCATCATTGAGTTTTGAGTATGCATACTCATTATCAACTTCAAACTCATTATCAAGTTTAGATTCTACTTCTTCCGTGCTTATAGCATCTCCAACGGTTAGCATCCGTACCATAAGGACTGAATTTATAATGTTCTCTAAAATATATACCTTATTATTATTATTATTATTATTATTATATATGTGTGTGTGTGTGGGATCAACATAGAACCAAAATTATCCATAGAACCATAGAACCATCTTATTTGCCTTTGAATCAATTAGAAACATTAAGGGTATAATTAATTTAATTAATTACTATCCAAAATAGTAGGAGATTCTTATAATACACGTTCTCCAAAATAGTAGGAGATTCTTATAATACACGTTCTGAACATACGTATATGTACATACTTGTTGTCATTAATGTTCATAAAACATACAAAAACCCTTAAATTAGTCATAATGGTATATGTTTATAAGTGAAGATTTATGAATTTACTATCATAAATGAACATTGAATGTGCACTTCTGAACATACATATATGTACACACTTTTTTCATATTAATGTTCATTAGTGAACATACAAAAACCCATAAATTAGTCATAATCATATATGTTTATAAGTGAATATGTATGAAGTTACTATGTGAAATGAACATCAAATGTAGCATCTTCACATGTTCACTTATGAATGTAAGTCACTTAATTTTCCTCTCAACATGGCCCAATCAGGATGTTTTGGGCCTTTGCCCTCCGTTGTCTCATCTCCCTTAGCAAGTAACTCCATTCCCATTGCCGCCGACAAGCCCATAAAGTGTCGGACATCTGTCAAACGTAAAAGGTGCCATCGCTCCCCGTCTGGTGACAATTTTTCCCAAATTAAACTTTTCCCTGACCTCGTTCCGGATCCGGAATTTCTGCCGCATAACCTTCAATCATCCTTCAATATCGCCGTGGGTATGAACCACGATAATCCTATCGTCCATCAGACCACTCTTACATGCCCTGTCTCAGTCGGTCCGGCCCTAATTTCGATTCCTGGGTTGGCGCCTCCATTTGGGGTTCCAGAAATTGAAGCTACAGCAGTTGTGGGAGCCATAATTGGTTTCGATATTCAGCCAGACAACCCGGTGCTGGTCGAAGTCCTCAGTGGCAACGGTGAGCGAGCAGGTCACCAATGAATTTCTTGTCGCTAAATATTAGGGGTGTAGGGGAGGATCATAAGGTCTCCTGGATTCGCAGACTAAGGTCGATACACAACTTATCTTTCATAGTTATACAGGAAACTCAAATACTAGATGATGAGCATATTGATGTCGCTGCTTGTTGGGGCTCGAGTGAGGTTGGTGTTAGTCGTATCAATTCTTCTGGCAGGTCTGGGGGGCTTCTGAACTTATGGGATGCAAGACTATTCAAATCAACGGAGGTTATTTCTTCAAGGCATTATATGATTAATATTGGCAGTTGGGTGGGTGTTCAGAAGCCTGTCGTTTTTGCTAATGTTTATGGAACACAACCGGTGGCGGATAAGGCTAGATTGTGGAAGGAATTAAAAGAAATAATTGAAACCAAGGATGGGGTGTGGGTCCTCATGGGGGACTTTAATGCTGTTCGTAGACCTGAGGAGAGATTTAACTCTGTTTTTTGTCGAAGAACTGCCCGTGATTTCAATGAGTTTATTAGGGACTCAGGGTTGATGGAGCCAAAGACGGGAGGTTTTCGTTTCACATGTTTAGGGATGCTGATGCAAAGCTAAGTAAGCTGGATCGCTTCCTTCACAGCCCTTGTTTCCTTGACATTGCCTCTAATGCCACTGTCACAACACTACCTAGAGAATTATCGGACCACTGTCCACTTCTTTTATCGAACAATAGACGAATTTTTGGCCGACCTCCTTTTAAATTGTTCGGTTCGTGGATGCTTAAAGACGGATTTGAAAAGGAGTTCATCACTAGTTGGAATAACTTTGTTGGTTTTGGTACACCAGACCAATACCTAGCTGCCAAGCTAAAACATGTCAAGGAGGATATTAAGGAATGGAGGGCTGCTGACCACCCAAAAGAAGAATCGGAACTGCGTAATCATAAACTCGTTGTTGAAAGATTAGATCATGAGGCCGAAAAGAGAAGCCTTACAGAAGTGGAGCTTGAGCAAAGGAGAGATAGCTTTAAGAAGGTGGCGAAACTAGAGAAATTCAAGGCGTTAGATATCAAACAGAAATCACGAATCAAACGGGCGGTTAACGGTGACGAGAATACTAGATTTTTTCATGGGTATGTGAACAGCAACACCAGGAAAAACGGGATTGATGGCATTATGATAAACGGGAACTGGTGTACTGATCCGGGTCTGATAAGATGGAGGCTTTCAATTTTTTTGCTGAGAAATTTAAGGAGAGATGGCCTTCCAGACCTAAACTTGTAAGCAGACATTTCAAGCAGATCCTTCCGACTGACAACGAGTTGCTTGAAGTCCCATTTACCCTCCAAGAAATAAAAGAAGCGGTCTGGGCTTGTGGCAATGAGAAGGCCCCGGGACCAGATGGTTTTTCGTTTAAATTCTTTAAAAAGTATTGGGATGTATTGTTAGGTGACATAGCTGCGGTGGTAAAACATTTCGAGAGGCACGGAAGGATCGATCAATCGTGTAATTCCTCTTTTATATCCCTAATCCCTAAAATCAAGGACCCGTCCTTACTCGGTGACTATCGCCCCATAAGTCTTATAGGCTCCATCTAGAAAATTATTTCCAAGCTTCTAGCAAGCAGGCTCAAGATGGTGTTGGGTAATTGTATAGATGAAGTACAATCTGCTTATGTGGAGGGGCAAAATATACTTGATGGCCCGCTTGTTGTCAATGAGGTGTATTCGTGGGCTAAGGCGACAAAGAAGAAGGTGTTACTATTCAAGGCCAACTTTAACAAAGCATTTGATTCTATTAATTGGGGGGTTTTTTGATGCAAATATGAAATCGATAGGCTTTGGAGACATATGGAGAGGATATATTAAGGGGTGTCTTGCATCTGCAAAATCATCAATACTTATCAATGGTTGCCCGACGGATGAATTCCCCATCACAAAGGGTGCCCGGCAGGGAGACCCGCTATCCCCATTTCTCTTCATCATTGCAATGGAGGGACTATCGGTATCCATGAGGGCAGCATGTGAAAGTGGTGTTTTTAAAGGAATTAAAAATCCAAATGGAGGGCCGGTCATATCTCATCTTCTATACGCGGATGACGCGCTATTTCTTGGAGAGTGGTCGGAGGATAACATCAAAAATCTGTCTAGAATTCTTCATTGCTTTCATGTTGCATCGGGCTTAAGGGTGAATTTCAACAAATCACGAGTCTTTGGAGTCGGTGTAAGTAGAAAGAGGTTACAAGACGTGCAAGACCTCTCGGGTGTGAACCGGCAAAACTACCCTTCAACTATTTGGGGGTACCCGTAGGGGCAAACATGAATCTTATTAAACATTGGAGTCCGGTTATTGACAGGTTTCATGCGAAACTCTCGAAATGGATGTCCAAAACTCTCTCATTCGGGGGCCGACTGACCTTGGTGCAATCGGTGTTGGGGAATTTACCCACCTATTTTCTCTCTTTATTTGTTGCACCTCAAGGGGTGATTGACAAACTAGAAAGCATTAGAAGGCAGTTTCTGTGGGAAGTACCGGTGATAAAAAGAAGATCCATTGGGTTTCTTGGGATACCGTTACTGCGTCCAAAGAGGCTGGGGGTCTTGGTGTGGGAACGATCAAATCTTTGAATATCTCCTTAATGGTTAAGTGGTGGTGGAGATTGAGGACTGGGGCATCAACAATTTGGGCTGCTGTCATTAATGGTATACATAATTGGAACTCAAAACCAGATGACTATTATGCTAATAATCGACTACCGGGTACTTGGAAAAATATTGTCGGGGTATGTAAAGAGCTGAGAAAAAAGAACATAGCCTCTGAAGATGTTTTATGTAAACGAACAAACTCTGCAGTTGAATCTTGGACCTGTAAGCTGACTTCGGATGACATTTTTGCTGTCAATGCGCTACGAAAAATCTAGGATAGGAGCTTACCTATTTCTGGAAGAAAATTCGAATGGATTCGTGAAGTTCCAATAAAGGTGGTTTGCTTTATATGGCGGGCGTGGCTGGGGAAAATTCCCACTAAGTTAGCACTAGTAAAACGTGGGGTTTCCGTGGGAGATATAAAATGTAGTCTTTGTGATGACTGGGAGGAAGATTCGGATCATGTTTTGGTTGGGTGTGAATATGCGAAAGAAGTACTGAGCTGGATCTTTAAATGGTGTGGTGTGACGATGCCCCCAATGAGAACTGTGGTTGAGTTACTGGATTTTGCCAACAATTGGTCGAATAATCCAAGTAAAAGGAGGTTGTTCTTGGGGATTTGTTATGGTGCTCTTTGGGGCATTTGGAAACAAAGGAATGACAGAGGGTTTAATGATTCCAAGATGCCCCCAGCCAAATGTGCTGATCTCATTCAGTCCACATTGTTTCTCTGGATGAAAAATAGGAAGGAAAACTCTAATATGGTGTGGTATAAGTGGTGTACTAATCCATTTTCATGCTTGTAATCTGTTTTTAATACCTCTCCTTATACTCATTCTGCAGCTTCTAGTTACTTGCTAGACGTCTGTTTGTTTTTATATTTTATTTGCCAGTTCAAATATATATATATATATATATATATATATATATATATATATATATATATATATATATATATATATATATATAAAAACGCAAAAATTTGTTATGTTCATAAATGACATTTGTACAAAAACAATAAATGATATAAATGAATTCATCAATATCCCTTCTGAACCAAAAAAATCCACATACAACTTATGTAAAAAAGAATCTGTCAAACCCAAATCTGATTACCAAAAAAACCTCAATTCATATAACTAAAGACGCCTAATTTCCTCATGAACAATACATTCGTCGAATGTAAACATATAGCAGAAAAATGAGATATTAAACATCTTTCGATGTCCCACTTTCATATTTTACTTTAAAAATCTTGTGAATAGCTTTCACGGTAGCCAACTGGTAGCCACTGAAAATACATTTACTGATATTAGCATAATAAACAAATCAAGAATGATCTATAAAACAAATATGAAAAAAAATCGGGGATTGAAAAACAAGACGTATACAAGCCACCGCCTTCGATTAATAGCAGGTAGAAGAACCTTCAAGATATGTTATATGCATCAAACAGAATAAATTATTAGATTAATCTTGTAGAACATCCACCGATGATGATTATCACATAATCAAATCAAGTGGATGAACATGAAAAGTGAACACACGATTTCCTTAATAAACAAAAATGAAGGAAATATGAAGACCCTCAAATCCTACGATGACTAATATAAATTATTAAAAGATGCATCTTAAAACATATCTTCCTCAAATCTTTATTGCATCACAAAAGAGTTGATATTCATGAACAGCTTTGTGAGAAAATTGACGGCAGACGACCTTTTCCTTAATGTGGTTTATGCGTATTCCTATATAATAAAAAAAATAGTTTTAATCTCCTTTTGACATGTGTCATCTTATTAGACCTCCTAATTAATGTATATTTTATTCTTTTTTGTCATGTGTCACCCTATTAGATCTCCTAATTAATGGATGACACTTGTCAACCTATTAATTCTCAATTTCAAATTTTAAATTTTAAATTTGTCATTCTAATTACATTAAATTAATAGCATTAGAATAAAAATTAAAATAAAATTAATACAAATTATAAGGTAATATAATTTCACATATTTATTTAAATTAACGATTATAATTTTATATAACTAAAAATATATATCTTAATTAATAATTTATTTAAAATAATTGATTAATAATTTTGAGTTCTCACTATTAAAATTTAATTAATTTGATAACCGTGGTTTCCACGGGTTATAAACTACTCCCCTATTCTAATAAATAAGTACAATCATGCCACGTGTCAGTCTCTTAGACCCCAACAATTTAGTTTTCCCGATTTTTTTATTAAGCCCTATTTACGTAAATGCCCTTTACTTCAAATCAAATGATCCGGTTGCAATAAATCCACAAAATTCCGAAAAAACCTGCACTCAAAATATGCAACCAATCAATTTAAATGAATAAAAGATTTGAAAATAATATGAAAAAATCGGTTCTTCAAATTTGAAATGAGAAAAACCCGATTTAATATGGCAGTCTGTTTAATGTGATTAGAAATTAAATAAATTGCAATGATTAAATCCCAAAAAATCTGCACCGATTTATCAAATTCCGAAATATATAAAATTATACCATTTATACGCTTATTTTGTTTTCAGGATTCTGCTCCATAGAATTCTTTGAAAACATTATTCTTCTTGAGTTTTTCTTCAATCCTTCCTGTCGGTACCAGGTTTACTGCATAATCCTTTTCCGCCCTGTTAATTCTGCAACGCTTCCATAAACACAAATCAGGTTAGTGTTTTCAAATTTAGTTTGTAGTATTTATTTAACATTATGAGTAATCTTCTTCTTCTTCTTTGTCTTATATTTTTCAAATCAGGTTAGACTTTATATTTTTTGGCTAAACGTTTTCATTGTTTTGTTGTTACTGTGAACCTAATTATATCATTATACTTTTAATTTACATTGCTATAATAACGATGGCAACAATAAGTGATATGTTTGTAAAAAAAATAGTCGGATTCAGATCCAAAGCTTTAACAATTCCAGTATGTTTTGTTTTTTTGGCTGTTAAGTTTTCTTTGTTTTGCTGTTACTGTGGGCCTAATTATAGCATTATACTTACAATTTACATTGCTATAATCTTTAATTTTGTATAAAGATACTCCAGTAGGCCGGACATTCGGTATTCATATTTATCATTTATTTTCGTGTTTATTTGTATTCCATTTGATTATAAAAAGTTTTATTGAATCTGAAAAGTTATATCATATTATTTGATATATTTGAACTTTGCTTATAAAAAGTTTTATTGAATCTGAAAAGTTATATCATATTATTTCATATATTTGTACTTTGCTCAAATATAACGTTTTTTAACATAATAAATTAATATACAGATTACTTAAAAAACATTGTGAACGTATAAGATTTGTTTTGAAAAAACAATTAAATGAATAATTGGTTATTCGCATGTGCTAAATTATAACTGCATATATTATCTTACAAAAATGCTATTTGCTTACAATTCTATACGGTTTAAATTTTCTTGCAGCAAAATGAATATAGGGAATAAAGTTTACCTAAAAAACATTAAACAGATAGATGAAAAATCACATATCAAGGTTCGGGTGCTTAAAATTTGGAACTTTGTCAAAAATAATAAAGTTTGTTCAATTGAAATGATGCTGATGGACGAGGAGGTTTGTTTTATTTTGTATATTTTTTATACTTCATTTAATATTACATATGCTACAACAAAAAAAAAATTTGTATTTATTTTATTTAACAGGGTACACAATACCATGATCGTGTCTTAAATCAAAATTTCTCCAAAATTTTGTCATCTTTTAAAGGAAGATGAAACTTATATCATTCTAAAACCCAATATGGCTGCTGTTATTAATGGTTTTAGTTATACAGGTCATAAACAAACTTTAACTTTAGATTGGAAAAGCATCATAAAAAAATGTGATGATTTCTCGGGTCCGGTAAATGGATTTAAGTTTGTTGATTTTAATTCTATCATAGAACAAACATGTCCAAGAGACACATTTTTTGGTAAGTTAATTAATTTTATTTTAATCATTTTTTATCACTTGTGTTCTTGGTTATACATTTTAGTATTTAAATACTTTAATATCAATGCAAGACTTTATCTTGTGTTACTTCTTGTGTAAATGTTATTGGACAGATTGTGTCATTTAGGCCTCTTGAAACTTCAAATCCTTTAGCATCCAAGCATTATATAAAACTCACTCTTAGCAACCTAGAGTGAGTTTATATTTTTAATTTCTTTATTATCTTTAATTAATCACAATTTAATATTAATAACTAATTTTATTGTTTATTTAGTTCTGTACATCTGAAGGTTACTATTTTTGGAGCTCAAGCATATCAGATTTCAGAATACCTAAAAAATAACCCCACGGTTAATTGTGTTGTTATAGTGATGCAGTTTTTGAAGCTTAACATTTGGAATGGTTTGTATTCACTCTTTATATATACATGTTTATAGTTATTGTTTTTCTATAATTTTTATTAATTTCCTATACTATTTTTACAGGAATTGGTGAAGCTAAAAGTCATTTTGAAGTAACGAAATTGTTCATAAATTCTGACATTTTCGACATTAATGAATTTAATAAAAAGTTAGTTTCCAATTGTTTTTTATTTTGTGATAATGTATTTTAACTTAAACTAACACAAATGCTAATATTTTTGAAATTAATTTAAACATTACAGATTGAAAGATGACAATGTCGGTATTTCTGAAAAAAGCATAACTACACTTCAAAGCTATTTTTCTTCATATACAGATGACTTTAAAGGCAATTTTCCATTAAAACCAGTTTGTGAGATCACCGAACCACTTAAGGTATGTTGCATTATTTGATATGTTTTAAATTTTATTTTTGCAGAATTTATTTTAATAACTTTTACATTTTATTTGATACAGGAAATGAAGTTTTTATTAGTTGCTTCCATTGTTAATATAAGGCAGAATCTACCATGGTATTATGAAGCATGCCACAAATGTGGAAAAAAAATAACCCCTGTTCCAAAAGCCAATCATTCGTATACCGACCCTGAAAAAATTTTAGAAACTGTTGTTGTTGAGTGTACAAATCCAAGTTGCAAAAAATCGAATTTTCATACGGTTATAAAGTAAACACATATTTATTTATATTAATTGATTCAATCTTTCAACAAAATTAACAACGATCTAATTTTTTTATTTTAGGTATATAATTCCAATCAACGTACAAGATTGTACTGGCACCATTGGATTGACTCTTTTTGATAGGGAAGCAAAGAGGCTGTTAAATACAAGTGCATACGAGTTGAAAAAGATACATGAAGCGGTATATTATTCATAACTTATAATCAAAAAAAATTTAATTTTTTTTTAATTTATTAAAATTCATCTTACAGGCCGGAGACAGTGATATGCTATTTCCAATGCAACTTAACGTGTTGAAAAACCGCAAGTTTTGTTTTCTTGTAGATATTACAGAATACAATGTCAACAACTATAATAATATCTACACCGTTCTCAAAGTTACAGAAGATATGTCCATTGTTTCTGAATTGGAAAGTAAAATAGAACTTATGGTACATAACCTTTTACTGTTAAACATTTATATTTTTATACTATTTAAATACATAACGATTAACATATTTCCATTTTATTTTCTAGAGTGTTCAATCTGTCTCCTTAAATCAAGTGCCTTTGGAATCAGATGATGTTGTACAGACTGTTCAAAAGGTTTTCTAATTCCTTTTATTAACTTTTATTTATATTAAATTTTTCCAATTAAATATTTATTTAAAAAAAATTAGGATGTGATCTCACAAACAGATGAAAGTTTTACACCCTCAACAGTTGATAAATCAACTACAACAAGTCCTAGCAAAATATCAACGATTTGAAGCGCAACCTTCAAGAAATTTATGACGTTGATTCTGGAGATGATTTAAGTTCAACTAAGGCTAAAAGAAAATCAATCGGAGAGGAAACTCCACTCTTAATTCCAAAATTGGAGAAGTGAGTTGGTTTTGGTTATTACACACATTTAATATATTTTGGGAACTTTTTTTTTTGGTTTTAAAGATATTTTGATTGTTTGGTATGATTTCTATTTTTGGATATTTAGGATGTCAATTACTATTGGTTTTGGATATGTTTGGATATTTTTATTCTTTTAAAGTAGACAACTGATTTGGTTTTGGTTTTAACACAAATTTAATATATTATGATGTTCATTTTCTTTTAAAGATATTTTGTTTTTTTCGTATTATTTTTATTTTTTGATATTTAGGATGTAAAAAATTATTGGTTTATTGACGTATTAATGTATTATCAAAATACATAATTTTGCAGTACAAATTCATGATATCAAATTACCATTAGTAATTGTTATGTTATCTAATTGTAAGTTGAAGGGGCAACTTCGGTATAAATGTTGTGTTTCACTACATTTTATCTTATTTAGTGAAAATACAAGTCTTTAGTTTATGTATACAGTTCTAAAATTAGTAAGTTTTAGACTAATTTACATTTTTTTTCCTGATTTTAGTTGAATTGTCGATTTTGGTCCCAAAAAAATATGGGTTGCAGTTTTTCTCCTTATTTTATTTTAGTATTTCATAATATTTTGGCCATTGGTCATCTATGTTAAGAGCGTATGAGTTATTATTGTCCATATTTTGGTATAAATATTTTTATTCTCTTAAAAGGAATTCCGTATGAGTTATTATTGTCCATGTTTTTGGTATAAATATTTTTATTTAATGATGATGCTGATGAATATTGATGATAGTAAAACATTATACGGTGAATTTTAAGTAAACGTAAAAATGCCAATTATTACATTATGAAATTAGCAATAGTATTTTTCTTCCAATTGAAGGGCATATATGAAGTCAACGGCAACTTTTAAGTCTTGCATCATTCTATCAGATTTGGACAACTGAATATCGTCCTTTTTGGTTAACAAGTATTATCATATTGCAAGTCTTGCATAATACACATCCTTTTATCATTCGTTTAATAAAATTTTTAATTTTAGCGCTTATTAAATTCATTTTGATTATGGTATAAATAATATCAAAACATGTATAAAGTTTGTTGAATATCAAAAATACATATCAATAATAAATAATATTTGTTGAATATATATAATTGTAATTTATAATATATATAATTGTAATTTATATAATTCTTTATTAATATATTCTATTTTTTAGGTTTTTTGTAATTAGTTAAGATCGATTTCAAATATTGTTTCATAATTTTCGGTAATCCCTTATTAAATGCATATCCTATATTCAAATTAAATTGATTTGTAATCTATTAAATCCCATAAAATTTGGAACAAAAATTTATCCAATAAAAATTCAACAACAATACTTTCAAAAAATCTCGGAGTATATTGTGAAGATATGATATTATGTGAATAAGTTTTTATATATAAATATACCTCAGAACGTGAAATCAATCGTTTTGAAAATCCTCATTCGTCTTCTTTTTCTTTCAATTGCATCTGCGGATATTCTTTCGTCAAAGGTACATCAATCTGCTTCATAGAAGTTGTATTCCTCATTTCAGTTCACACGTCAACTGCTTTTCATTTATACGCGCTCTTACTTCCTGCAAGATCTCCATATTCATATATCAGGTTAGTCTTTTTAGTTAATATTAGATTGGTTTCTGTATGGATTTATTGTTGAACATTGAAAGTCAATCGATTTAGTGCATCACTGTTCCATACTCATTTGCAACTAAATGTTGTAATGGAATTGAATTCCAATTCCAACCAAACTAAAGAAAAACATCGATCAAAACGCATATTGAATAAGAAAATATTATGTACCTTGTAAAGTTCCATCAAGTTCTTAAAGCTCTAAACTTTTGAAACAAGGTTTTTGAATCTCTTCATCTGTTTGATATCAGCAAATACTGTACGAAAAAAAGTGTTATCTCTTCTGAAACAGAAATACCTGATTACAGAACTGTTTCTACATTGCTGTTATGAGTTACATATTCATATTATTGGTAAATAAATTTAAGTATGTTGCTATAAGGGGTGAAGAAATGTAAATATAATGTTGAAAAGGAGTAAAGTATGTTGTTATTTTGTGCAATAAGTATGAGATTTTTGTGTAATTAAGGAATATACCTGATACCCTTGCCAAGGAAGTCTACCACGGTGTAAAAATACAAGTGTATATGCAAGAGATTCTAAATCGTCTCTTCTACTTGTTGTTCTTCCTAAATGTGCATGCACACTAGCATATCTAACTGTTCCCTTGTTACAACATACCAAAATATTTATTAAAAAACAATATAATATGAAATGAAGGGTATGGCTTAATTAGTTAGGAGAATGAGATTTCACCTAAACATGCCAAGCCTTTGATCGTAGTCAACATGTTGACCATTTGTACTTTCTCTCCACTTTGTTGCTGCATTTGATAGATATCATCATATCAATGAATGTGTTAATGGAAAATGAGATGTAATAGAAAACCCATGAAAGGAATTGGATGAAATGACTTACCTAGCCCTAAGTCAACAAGAAATAGTTTCTTCTCTTGAGCTGTTGATGGTTGACCAAGTAAAAAATTCTCTGGCTTTACATCTCCATGCACATAACTATAAATACAAACATAACTCTTGCAATGAATATAAGGGAAAGGGGAAACATCTTATATAGTGAAATGAAAAAAGAATAAGAATATTTGGAATGCATATATATTATATATATTTTATATACCCTCTTGTAGAAATCTTTTCCAAAATTGATAAAGATTCCACAGCTATACAAGCCACCATTTCTGATGACATCCTGGAAAACAAAATGCAACAATAAAAAACAAGTTACCACTTTTGGAATGTTAAATCAAAATGCAGTAAACCACAAGAAAAAATAGAGGAAAGAATCATTTGATGTTCATAGGTTTATGGAGAACTCACGTTTGTCCAGAAGAATTCCAAACATCCCACAAACTAGGCACCAACATGTCCATGACCTATAATGTAAATAGAGAAAAAGAAATGTTATATAGTTATTCATTTAAATAAACTAAAAACTCATCAAGTATTAGCATATACCATAACATAGTAATCTCCTTGTTTTCCTTTATAAAGAACTTTAGGCACTCCATGACTCCCACCCAGAGTACTGTTTCACCAAGAAAAAACAAATCCACTTCTTTAAATTCAAAAAAGAACAATGTTAATCTGTTTACTAATCACAAAAACATAATGTGCACATACATGTAAACTTGCCACTCGTATGGAGGACCATAACTGCAACCTTTGTTGTTTCTATGCTTAAACTTAAGAGCTACCTGTCACAAGTCACAACCAAATCTAAAGAAAATGAATTGTAGAAATCAGATTTTATATAAAATGTAAGCTTGATTGTTTGATGCAAGAACGTTACCTCTGTAGCACCAGGACCTAATATGCGATCAGTTCCACCAGATACACGACGACCAACAAATACCTGACCAAATCCACCTTTCCCTAATTTTCTTTCGACCTTATATTGAGGTGATCCACCTACTTGAACCTGAAAATCAATGCGTTTTATAAGTAAAGAAGCATTACAAAAATCGATGGAGCAATAGACAACATACCCTTTCAGGAAAAGGGGCGGTATTCCCTTCTTCTTCCTGGCCTGTAACCTTGTTAGCGCTCAAGCCACCGCTTCCATCCGCCATTGCTACTTTGAATGTCTCTTCTCCTGTTTCCTCTGATCGCTTTTTATCCTCATCTGCTTCAGAAATGACAACTACCGGCTTTTTTGCTAAACCCTCTTTTTTCTTCTTAGTCGGCAGCCGCGACTTCTTTTGTTGCTTCGGCTCAACACCAACCGCCGCCGCTTCCCTAGCTGCGGCCGCTCGAGTTTTAACGTGATTACCCAGCAAATGCTCTGATCGCTTATTGGGCCTACCTTCTCTCTTCTTCTTCTCGACTACAGGAGCACGTGCACGGCGTACTCAAAATTGGTTCAAATTGGGGAAAGAACAAATGGAAATGGAATAAGCCCTAGGTTGGAAATGAGGATGATGACACGTGATTCACATCAGGTAATGAATTTAGGGTTGCAGTGGAAGAAGGAGAGTCGGGGTTAGGATCGTCTAACCTCATCCTGACGGAGACTAATTCGGAGGAGGATAAGGCATTGTAGATAAAATCTTCGAGGTTCCGTTTCATGCGTTGTTGAACGCAATCGATGGTGTGTTAATCGAGGATAGTCATTGAGGGTTAACCGGCGACGACCGTCCAAATACAGAATATCTGTGAAACCAACTGGCTTTTAGGCTCACTGATAGGAAGACACACACATAAAGAGAAAGATAGAGAGAGTGAGTGATGAAGAAGACGTCTGTAGAAAGAGAGTTGTTGGGAGAGTATTGCTTTCTTCACCCGATTTCTTTCTGCATATACAACACACGTTACGAGTTACAGTGCGTGTGGGTATCGACTCTTATTTGGATCCGACTCCGACCCATTTTTAGCTTTGGATCTTACCCGACTCATGTTAACTTTAATATCTTTAATTAAATTCACTTTTACACAATATAAACAAATATAAAAATTCGATTATAAAAATAAATAATACATGACTAAATTAATATTTTCAGATTTACAATGGTTAAACAAATTAAAAAAAATTATATAATCTTATTGTACCGTTTTTGCCAATACTTAACAAAAATACTTAAAAATACTACAAATTTACATTATACATATTTGTTCGCTATATAAATATTATATAAACTACTGATTTGCTATTTCTTAAATATTTTAAGTTTTAAAGTAATCTCATTTCTCTTAAGGTTGCAGACATACAATGCATTCCCTTTCTTCTAAAAAGACTACAAAATTAAATACTTCAACAACTATAGCGGTTAATACTTCAATGAACAAATGTAACTTTTTAAATGTTGTAATTTACAATATTATTATTATTTCTTATTTTTTAACTAACATAAAATTTAATTAATTAAAATACACATGTATTAACATAAAAAAAATAGATAAATTGTCAAGTTCTTCGTCCGCTGCAAATCAATATTCTTCGAAATTGGTAACCGATGCTTACAAAGGTACACTTATTTATTCAATTGTATTATATAATCATATTATTTACCGTATTTCACATTTCATATCCTATCATATGTGTTCTTATGCAGAAAACAACAATAACATGTACCACATGCAAGCCAGAGAGAAAAGAAGACAAAGAAAAATATATTTGGAAAATAAAATATCGAAGAAAATGAAAACAACATCGAACGTTCCAAGTACATCAATACCGCATTTCTTAAATAATATATTAAACTGTAACCCTATTATTATTTTATATTATATGTTTTACTGTTACTTTGTTTTATACATATCTTTACAAGTTTTATAAGTTGTTGCTATTTGCAGATCGATCAACCAACATTGTTGGTCAAACTCAAAATGTCAATTCATTTACTTCACCTGGAATGCATAATACAACCATACAAAACTCTCATTCTTTTACAGATGTTAGAACTCCGTTATCTAACATTACAAATGTTAAAAATCCATTATCTAACATTAGAAACGGTAATTATTTATTGTTTTTAAAATATATTTTTATCCACTTTCTATATTTATATATATATATATATATATATATATATATATATATATACATATTATACTTTTTTTTGGTCAGATAACATCAGTTTCGATAAATATGCCACTTCCAAGTTAACAAACAGAAGACAGTACTATGTACTTTCAAATGAAATGACATCAAAAAATGCATCTACAGTACCCACTTCTTCATCATCAATCAAGTTAAATCCAGGATATCGTAAATTAAAAACGAAGACGAGACATTTATCCCATATCCCATTGATTGATTTGACAGAAGATGTAGAAAATATACATCAAGTGAACAATGAAAATCTTATAGTTGGTATCTCAAATGGTAATCAAAAAATAATATCCATTTTACATTTCAAATACTATGTTGTATATACTTATAAAATTCATTTATATTTATTCAACGCTTTTATTTTACAGAATATTTGGATCATGGTGATCAAGATGTTGTATGTCAAACATGTCATGCAAAGTTATGGAGAAATGAATCCATTAGAGGTAAAGAAAAGGGGAACACGAATTATTCATTATGTTGTGGTTACGGGAAAGTTCAACTTCCAGATTTAAAGAAAGCACCCCCGACTTATGAAAGAATGTTCCGAAATATGGATTCTAAAAGCAAACACTTCATGAAAAACATTCGACGTTACAATTCAATGTTTTCTTTTACGTCGATGGGTGGTAAAATTGATTCTTCAATCAATAGAGGAAACGCTCCATACATTTTCAGATTGGGTGGTCAAAATTATCATAGTATTGGAAGTCTTTTACCAGCAAAAGGATCGGAACCAAAATTCTCTCGGATATACATTTATGACACTGACAACGATATTTCAAATAGACAAAGATGTTTTCGGTATTTTTTCAAACTTCTTATTCATAATTTATTATTATTATTAATATATATATATATATATATATATATATATATATATTACTAATATTATGTATAAATTTATTTATTTTAGTGGGGAAAAGGATCAATCAACATCAATTGATAGTGATATTATTGAAGATATTAAGGTGATGTTGGATTCAAATAATGTCTTGGTTAGATCTTATAGGATCGTAAGAGATACTTTTCTGCAAAATCCAGAAGTTGATATGAAATTACGACTTATTGGGAGAAGGGAGCAAGATGAAAGAACATATAACCTACCAACTGCTTCTGAGGTTGCTTCTTTAATTATTGGTGACATTTCTGATTCAATCGAAAAGAGGGATATCGTCGTTCAAACAAAAAATGGTTCTCTACAACGTATCAGTGAATTGCATCCTTCGTACCTTCCTCTCCAATATCCATTGCTATTTTCATATGGGGATGATGGTTACAGTGTTGACATTCTTCATAGAGGTGTGTCATTTACGACCGACAACAAGCGTGCGAACTGTACAATGAGGGAATATTTCGCTTATAGGATTCAAGACAGAGATCATTCGTTCTCTCTCATACTTAATTCAAAAAGGTTGTTTCAACAGTTTCTGGTTGATGTCTATACTATGATGGAAACGAAGAGATTGTACTACATACGTAGGCAACAGCATGTTCTTAGATGTGATTCTTATGAAAATTTACGTAACCAAAAAGCTCAAGGAACGACTGATATCTCCAATGTCGGCCAACGTGTCATATTACATTCGTCCTTTACCGGTGGAGCACGCTATATGCTGCAAAACTATTTGGATGCCATGTCACTTTGTAAATGGTTTGGATATCCTGATTTCTTCATAACCTTTACGTGTAATCCCAAATGGCCTGAGATTAAAAGGTTTATTAAGGATACTTCACTTCAACCAGAAGACAGGCCTGATATATTATGTAGGTTGTTCAAGATCAAGCTTGATGCATTCATTAAAGACTTAAGGGAGAAACAAATTTTCGGCAAAGTTCAAGCATGTAATTAAAAATATATTTTTTAATTCTTTATAAAACATTGCTCTTATTATTATATTTTTAATATGTTTTTAAAATCTAATCACATTTTATTTTTTTGGCAAATTCTTTTACAGATGTTTATATCATTGAATTTCAAAAAAGAGGTTTGCCGCATAGTCATATATATCTATTCATGCATACTGACAACAAGCTACCAACTGTTGAACTTATCAATCCGATAATTTCAGCCGAGATACCAGACAGAATTGAAGATCCTGAATTGTATTCACTTGTGAATGAGTTTATGATTCATGGTCCATGTGGAGCTGAAAATATGAATTGTCCATTCATGGTGGATAAAAAGTGCTCTAAAAACTTTCCAAAACAATTCTGTAATCATTCGTCTGTTGATCAAAATGGTTTTTCGTTATATAGGCGAAGAAACGATGGTCATTTTGTAGAAAAATCAGGTGTAAGGTTGGATAATAGAAATGTTGTTCCATACAACAAATATCTATTGAAAAGATATCCGGCACATATTAATATTGAATGGTCCAATCAGGGATCTTCTATAAAGTATTTGTTTAAATACATAAATAAGGTTCCTGATAGAGCTACAATTGTTGTTGTACCAACCAACAATGAATGTGAAAATAATGATGTGGTCGATGAAATAGTTGAATATTACGATTGTAGATATTTATCAGCATGTGAAGCATCATGGCGAATTTTTAAATATGATGCTCATTGCAGATATACTTCTGTTGTCAGACTACCTTTTCATCTTCCTAATCAACAGCAGATTGTATATGGCGAAGACGATGATATTGATGATGTTCTTGACAAACCTTCTGTTGCGGCTTCAAAGTTCACATCTTGGATGGAGTGTAATGCAATCGACAGTGAAGCACGAAAACTTACATATGTTGAATTTCCTACAAAGTTTGTTTGGCAATTAAATGGTCGGTTTTGGAAGCGAAGGAAAGTAGGAAAAGCCATCGGTCGAATTCATTCGGTTTCACCTAAACTAGGTGAAGCATATTTCTTACGGATTCTTTTAAATAAAGTAAAAGGTCCAACATCATTTGATGAAATTCTCACGGTAAATGGTGAAATACATTCTTCTTTTAAAGATGCTTGTTATGCACTCGAGCTATTAGATGATGACAAGGAATACATTGATGCAATTAAAGAAGCAAGTCATTCTGGATCTGGTTTTTATCTACGCTTCTTATTTGCTACATTGTTGACGTGTAATAGTATGTCTAAACCAGAGGTTGTTTGGGAAAATACATGGGAATATTTGGGAGATGGAATTTTATATAACCAACGACAAAGATTTAAGTCTGCAGGTATTACATTTCTTTCTTATTTTTTATTTAAATTAATTTCTTTTTATTATTCAACACCCATTAAATAATTAGTAATAAAATTATTAAGTATCGACCAAATATTTTATTAATTATTTAATCTTTTCGTGCAGAATTGTCACTCGGAGTAGATGAACTTAAGAACTTAACTTTGTTCGAAATAGAACAAATTTTACTTCGAAACAACTCTACTCTCAAAAACTTCAAAAAGATGTCATACCCAGATGTTGAATCTGTTTCTTCTTCAAACAATCAACTTATCACCAAGGAGCTAGATTACGACATTCCCGTTATAAAGAATGACTATGATCGTATGTTTCTTG